TTCACCATTTGAATTTGGGAGGCACAGGGACATTCAGATGAGAGCAGGTTTAAAAGCATTTCTAACTTTGAAAGGCCCTGCGTTTCTGGAACATCTCTGTTCCTTTTTATGTATCGCTTGAACAACTGTTTCCTGAGACTGTCTCTTCTAGTTACAGCCAACACACACTATTGTTTTGTTTTCAGATCTCATCTTCTAGAAATGCAAATGTATTAGATTTGTGATATACCTCCCAATCAGTCTTAGCAACAGCTTTACTAAATGCCTTGCTACCTCAAAACACAGATTCCCACTGTAATGGCTTTTAATATCAATTTCTACTACTTGATCATTAAGCCAGGGTCTCATGTTTTACGTTTTTCCTAGAATCCTATTCCGTCACAAATATCTGTAGTAGTAGCATAAGCTAAATTACTCTGCCTTTCAGAATCTTAGCATTTATTTCTTGCCCAGTGTCTGTCATTAGGTGGCTCTGTCCTACATGGTCACTCAGGGACGGAGGTTGATGAAGGCTCCGTCATCTTGTATCTTCCCCATTGTAACAAACCACCCCAAAACCTAGTGCCTTAGAGTAACACTGATTGACAGCTTTTCGTGATTTTGAAGAGTTGTCTGGGTGATTCTTCTTCAGGATGAGCCACGGGTCACTCACACGGCAGTGTGCAGGGGAGAGTCAGCTGAGGGGTGAATTCAGCCGGGGAGTGTGGACCTTATCCCCCTTTCTCTCTGCGCTCCTTCTGCCTGAAGGAATCTAGACCCAGCTTCCTCACATGGTAGCCAAAGGGCAAACCCTAATAAGCAGGCTGCACCGAGCTTCCTGTTTGCCAGTGCCCTGTTAGCAAACAGCCAAGCTTAATGTCAGTGTGGGAAGGGACTACAGGAGGGTTTGCATGCTGGGATGTACAGTCCCATCTCAGGGACCAATCTTCCACAGCCATGTATGGTAGGAGTCAGCAACCTTGTTCCTTTACATCAAGAATGTAAATGTTTTGGCCTTTACAGTCTATATGATCTCTTTTGTGACTTATTTTTAGATTTATTTATTTATTTATTTGAAAGGCAGAGTTACAGAGAAGAAGGGAGAGACAGACAGAGAGGTCTTCCATCTACTGGATCACTCCCCAGATGGCCGCAACAGCCAGGGCTGAGCCAGGCCAACACCCGGAACCAGGAGCTTCTTCCTGGTCTCCCATGTGGGTATAGGGGCCACCCTCCACTGCTTTACCAAGCACATTAGTAGAGAGCTGCATCAGAAGTGGAGCAGCTGAGACTTGAACCAGCGCCTATATGGGATGCTGTCATCATAGGCAGTGGCTTTACCCACTACACCACAACACCAGCCCCTGTTGAAACTTCTTAACTCTGCTCTTACACGGAGACTATATGTAAACAAGTAGCACAACTGCGTTTCAGTAAAACTCTGTTTGCAAGTCAGGCAAAGGACCAGATTTTCCCACCAGTATTCTGTAACACAAAGCCCTTCTTCAGTCTCTGAAGCAGAGGAAGGAGTTTTTTATGTTTTGGATCAGAAATTTTATGAGTCAGTTCTGCCTTCAGCACATAGGCCAGAACTGGTCACATGACTGTAGCGAGCGGCAGGGGAGTGGGGAGGATAAAGCTGCTTTTTGTCCCGAAGAAGGGGCGAGCTTGAACTTGACGTGGGTGGACACTAGGAGTCTATAGCACAGGTGCTCCCCTTGGCAGATGTCCGCTCAGATCACCAGCTAATGTGTACTGCCCTGTGATGTATACTGCACAGACCAAAACAACGATGCACTTTAAACTTCTGGGGGCCAGGGTGTAGGTGCCTAATTCCTCTGTCACTTCATTACCCCACTCCCTTATCCCCAGAGCTGCCGCTCTACAAGAGGCCAAAGTGTGAGTGGTTTCTCTGTAGATGAGAGGTCCCAAGGCCCAAAGTCTGTGTTTCTTCCTTTTCTCGTGGTGAGTGGAATGGACAACCAGCAAAAATTTTCTCCCATAGTCCAGGTTTTTGGCCAGGAGAAGTACCTTAAAGGTTTAGGTTAATTTGCTTGCTTTCAAAAGTCCCTTGAGCAGTTAACACAAACCAGCAGTTTGCCTTATCTTTATGATTTAGAAAGTATGAGTATCCTCATGTCTTAATGCTGGAAGATTACTTTGAGATTGAGCAGAGCAGTAAATATTTCCCTGTGCTGATCCCTCCTTCCCTCCTTTGAGGGACAGTAGTTCTGGTTTTCAGCCCTGTCTGCCAAAAGCCAGGGTTACACACCGAAGTAACGCACAGTCACAGAGAAGGAGGAGTATAGAGGGGAGTGTCGCTCTGAGCCAAGTGAACAGTCCCATCATCCTCCGGCCTAGTAAAGGAGTTCACGTACTTTATATATCAGCCAGAAAGACGGCTTATGTAAATGCGAGTCAGAATATCTTGGAAGATCTTTTTTTCACATTCAGGAGCTCAGTCATTTTTAAGCCATTAATTACTTTTTTAAAAATATGTATTTATATATTTGAAACCCAGATTGAGAGAAAGAGAGATCTTCTATCCACTGGTTCACTCCTCAAATGGCCACAATAGCCAGATCCATGCCATAGCCAGGAGCCAGTAACTCAATCCAGGTGGTCTACATGGGTGGCCGGAGCCCAAGCACTTGGGCCATCCTCCACTGCTTTCCCAAGTATATTTGCAGGGAGTTGAGTCAGAAGCAAAACAGACTCAAACTAACACTGTGATATAGCATGCTAGCATTGCAAGCAGAAGCTTATGCCACAGTGCCCTCTCCCCATTCATTACATGTTTGTTTGTTTTAAAGAATTTATTTATTTGAGAGGTAGAGTTACAGACAGTGAGAGGAAGACAGAGAGAAAGGTCTTCCATTCACTGGTTTGCTCCCTAAATGGCTACAGTGGCGGGAGCTGAGCTGATCCAAAGCCAGGAGCTTCTTCCAGGTCTCCCATGCAGGTGCAGGGGCCCAAGGACTTGGACCATCTTCTACTGCTTTCCCAAGCCATAGTAGAGAGCTGGATCAGGAAAGGAGCTGCCGGGACTTGAACCAGCACCCATATGGGATGCCAGCACCACAGGCAGAGGATTAACCTACTGTGGCACCATTAATTATGTTTTAATGCCAAATTGTTATCATAATCAAGTTCTAATCTTGGAACAAATGGGATACATTCAGGATACAGAGTATGTTGAAAGATATTCTTGAGGCTGGTGCCGTGGCTCACTAGGCTAATCCTCCACCTACGGCGCGGGCACCCCAGGTTCTAGTCCGGGTTCTGGCGCCAGGTCTGTCCTGGTTGCTCCTCTTCCAGTCCAGTTCTCTGCTGTGGCCCGGGAGTGCAGTGGAGGATGGCCCAAGCACTTGGGCCCCTGCACCCGCATGGGAGACCAGGAGGAAGTACCCACTCCTGGCTTCGGATCAGCGCAGTGCCGGCAGTATCGGCCATTCGGGGAGTGAACCAACGGAAGGAAGACCTTTCTCTCTGTCTCTCTCTCTCTCACTGTCTATAACTCTCTCTCTCTCTCTCTCTGCCTCTCTCTCTCTCTCACTGCCTAACTCTGCCTGTCAAAAAAAAAAAAAAAGATATTTTTGCAAAATGATCCATTGAGAAACGTGACCATGGAGAATATAGATAGCAACAAGTTGATTGTATTCCTGCCCTCAGGAAGCTTGCAGTCTAGTGATTTGAGTCAGGTATCTAACAGGTAACCGCGGTACGAACATCTGACCAAATAGAATGCAGGCACAGGCATCAAGCTGAGGAAGGGAATCGAAACGTTTGGGACTGGAATAAGTGTCCTATAAGCAGGATGTGAAGGGGTCGCAGGGTTTGGAAAGGACCTGTAGGGGAAAGTGTCTCCTAGGCCAGGGCGTGGTGAGTGGCTGCCAGAGGGCCCGGACGAGAGCAGGAGCTGTAGAATGAAAAAGCAGCAGCAGAGGGAAGGCCAGGCTGGGCTGCAGGGAGGAGGCAGAGGTGACGTCCCCGGGCCCTGGAAGCTGAAGCTGGCGATTTCTGAAGCAGGGGCCATCACACGAGAGAAATGCCCGGCTCTTCCCAACCGGAGTCGGCGACTCTTCACGCGGTCAGAATTGGAGCACGCTCAGTACTTGTCAGGCAAGCACCTAGCGTCGTTCCTTCAGCCAGGGATTTTCAGCCTTCTTTCATTTGCTGTTGAACATTAATAAAGAACCCAGATGTGCACAGAATTGAGGTTACAGCTAATCAGAATCAACACTGCCGAGCACGAGGAGGTTCTCGCCCCTGCTCTCAGGTAATCTTGGCCGTGAACATGATGTTCTTAGGGTTGTTTTTCACATAGTTCTGTTCTGTTTTCAAATATTTATCCATTTAAGCAACATTGGTATTTAATGCTGAAAGGACATCTGTTCTGCTGGCCTGGCACCTGGCTTCTGAGATAGAACTTTTTTTTTTAAGTTTTAATCCCCCTTCTCATGATGGAAAAAATAATTTTGACCGCAAGCAAATTGGCACCTCTAGCATTCTTGTTATAGGCTCTGTGAGGGACCTGTTGGGGGCAGGGGAAGTTGTGACATGTATGGGTGTGGCCAGCCTGGAAGGGCACCCCATGGCAGGAAGTCAGCACTCACAAGCCTGAAAAGCTTTTGCATTTCAAGTGCTGAGTTACAGGGTTTTTTTCCCACAAAGATTCATATGCGCACATAAAGCTGGCCCGTGGCTGGGCTCCAGCCATCCAGAGCACTTGCCAACTCCAGACTTGCAGAGAATGAAGACACTCGTGCCCCGTCATCCATCATTTGTTTCTGTGAACCTTACAGCTGGATATTGAAAAATCTGGATTTGATCGATCTTTCTTTTCTTTCTTTCTTTTTTTTTTTTTTTCATTTCAAGTGAACCGAATGGCCTCGACACATGGATATGAAGTAGAACCAGGAAGTATTCATGGCATTGAATCAGAATTTGAGACATGAAGTCGGCCATTTCGTAGTGTTTCTTATTTCTTTTTAATAAGATTTTGAGTATTCTTTTTGCAGGTCTTGTTCTTGACTGGCTTTGGCTCTGTGTATGTGGACGTTGTACATCAGTGTGGAACAGTCTTCATCACCGTGGCCCCAGAAGGGAAAGCAGGACCCATGGTAACCACGACCAGCAGGTGGGTTCAGTCGTTTTCTGGTGGCAGTACGGGTAGCCTTCTCGTTTATCAAGTCATAAGCCTGCTCTGTACCGTTCTTTGTTATCCCTGCACACAATGAAGTCTTGGTTAATGAATGGGTAATCCATAAGAGTATGGTATTGGGTACCTTTCCATGTCATACAAGTTGAACAAACTGATCACACCATTATTATTAGCATGAAATTCAATATAGTAATTACACTTAGCAATTAGAATTTCACAAAATCTAAAATACCCCATAGAGCCACATTTCCCATTTGACCTGTTTCCATCAAGTTTTAAAAACATGAACCAAGGGACCGGTGCTGTGGCATAGTAGGCTAAGACCCTACCTGCAGCGCTGGAATCCCATAAGGGAGGCAGTTCATTTCCCAGCTCCTCCTCTTCTGATCCAAATATGGCCTGGGAAAGCAGCAGCAGATGGCCCAAGTGCTTGAGCCCCTGCACCTGCATGGGAGACCCCGAAGAAGCTCCTGGCTTTGGATTGGCCTAGCTCTGGCCGTTGGCGGCCATTGGAGAATGAACCAACAGATCAAAGACTTTTCTCTGTGTCTCTCCCTCTCTGTAACTCTGTTTCTCAGATAATAATTTTAAAAAATGACCAAAGGGTTACTATTCTTAGTTTAAAGAACCCATATAATTCAATCAGAATAATGTAAAGATACCCTATCACAAACAAAAATAAGAGGAAAAGACATGAACAGAAAATCCTAGGAAAAGGAAATATAAGTAATCAAAGAAATGTAAACAGACAGATTCACACAATCACACTTAGAAAACATTCTTGGAAGAATGAAAGGAAAAGACAATCAAGTTGTTAATAGATGTAGGGGTTATAAGTAGTTATTTAATAATTTCCATATTTTAATTTTCAACTGTAGCATTTTATAATCAGAAAAAGGTTGAAAATTAAAATGTAAAATAATACTAGCTTTCATGCATTTGTTTAAAACCTTCTTTGGAAAGGTTACTTTGCTATTCATATATGGTTAAGAAGCCTATAATTTGAACTTCGCTGATTTGAATTTATAATATTTCAAACAGCGTTGGATAGCATATTTTCTTTGCCTAAAAGTATTTGTGACAACTTAGTAGTCTAGGAACAGGCACTTAGCCTAGCAGTTAAGAAGCCTGCATCCCACATCAGAGTACCTGGGCTTGGTTCCTAGCTTCAGCTCCTGATTCCAGCTTCCTGCCCTGGCAGATCCTAGGAGGCGGCCATGAGGGTACCAGTAATTGGGTGTCTGCCACCCATGTGGGAGACCTGGCTCCTGGCTCCAGCCCAGCCAGCTCTGGCCCTTGTAAGCATTTGGGGAGTGAAACAGCAGATGGATGAGAGTGCTCTCTGTATGCCTGTCTCTTTCTCTGTCTCTCTACTGCTCAGATTTTTAAAATAACTCATTTTTAAAGACATCAGTTAATAGTATCACAAAATTAGAGACTCAGTTTTAAATAGTGATCATTTCAAGCCTACACAATGACTTCAAAAACAGTTTATCTAGAGTATAAATGTTTGTGACAGTGGCAACATTCACATATTCCGTGGTATAAATAAAAAAGGTGCACATTTACTTAAACTTCGTTAATTCATGCCCCCAGCAACCCTTTCTCAAGTGCTTACTAGATGCCAGGTGCTCTTCTGGGCTTGGGATGCATCCGTGAATAGAAAGAGCCTCCTCCCCGCCCTTTGGTTGCAGTCCCATAGGCATGGGATAGAGGGAAAGGACAGAGGAGCAACATAAAGAAGGACGTCTCGTGCTGCATGCAAGGTCAGCATCCTGCAGAGCTAAACACAGAGCCCAGGGAGGGAGGTGGGGAGTGCCACAGCCTAGGGGCAGGGAGACTGTAGTGTAAAGCAGACGGGCGTGGGGGAGCCTCACTAAGAGCTAACATCGGAGCAAAGCGGCTTGGGAAGGTGGCTGTCTGACGGATGAGCTGTCCACACTGAGGGCGGCCAGCCCAAAGGCCTGGAGGAGCTTGCATGGCAAATCACAGGATTAAGGAAGAGGCCACAGTGGGCCCATCAGAGGAGGGGTAAGTGAATGGACTACAGGTGGAGTAATCCATAACCAATGTGCTTGCAACCGGAGTGTTGCTGACTGCATTTCTCTTATTCTGGAATATTTGTACGTATTTAATGATATATCCTTGTGATAGGACCCATGTCCAAGCATGAAATCTAGAAGTCATTTAGCCAGTGGTTAACACAGCCTCGTTTCACATCGGAGTGCCTGGATTTGATTTCTGGCTCTGGGTTCCTGTATCCAGCCTCCTGCCAGTGTAGACCCTGGGAGGCAGCAGTGATGGCTCAAATAATTGAATTTCTGACCCCACATGGGAGACCTAGATTGTATTTCCCACTTCTAGCTCTGGTGCTGGCCGAGCCCCAGTTGTTGCAGTCATTTGTGGGGTAAACCAGGATACAGGAGTGTATGTATGTGTCTTTTTTATTTTTATATTTTTTTAAGATTTACTTGTTTACAGAGAGGCAGAGAGAGAGAGAGAGAGAGAGGTCTTCATCTGCTGGTTCACTCCCCAGATGGCCACAAAGGCCAGAGCTGCACTTATCCGAAGCCAGGAGCTTCTTCCAGTCTCCTACATGGTTGCAGGTGCCCAAGGACTTGAGCCATCTTCTGCTGCTTTCCTAGGTCATAGCAGAGCTGCATCGGAGGTGGAGCAGCCAGGTCTTGAACCAGCATCCATATGGGATGCCAGCACTGCAGGCAGCGGCTTTACCCACTACACCACAGCGCCAGCCCCTGTGTGTGTGTGTGTTGATTACATAAATAATGTTGAAATAAACATGAAATTCATTTGTGTTTTATATATACCTCATACCCATAGCCGAAAAATAGCTTTATACAGTATTTTTAGCATACCTGTGTTGTTATTGCAGCCCCTCACATGAGATGCAGTGTTGAATTTCATAATTAGGACATCATGTCAGTGCACAAAAAGTTCTGGACTTTGACATTTCCAGTCAGGGCTGCCCAGCCTGTAGCACAGGGACCAGAGAGATCCAGATCTCTGGGAGACACATGGCGTAGGCCTCGGGGGTCGCCATGGTGAAATGGGCAGGTCAGAGCATTTTGAGCAGCGCACTTACAGCTGTGCCCTAAACTTCCAGAAGACCCTTTGTGGAAGGAGACTACAGAGAAACACGGTAGCAGCAAGCAGGGAAACGGGGTAGGAGATTGTGACAGGTGCTCACCCCAGAGCTCCTGGCGGCTTACACTGCAGTGGATGTGTCAGCTGAGGTGGCAAGACGAGGCCAGGTGGTCAGATGCTCGATGTCCTGTCAAGGAAGAGCCCGCGGGACTGCCCCGGTGCATCGGAAAGCAGCTGAAAACGGAGGCATGAAGGATGACTGCAGGATTTGGGGCAAGGCACTGGTAGGGGGTGGTTGCCATTAGCTGCGATGGCAAAGGCTAGATGTGAGTTGAGTGGGGAAAGTCGAGAGTTTGGTCCCAGACACGGGAAGCTGAGATGTCGGTCAGACATCCGAGCGACCACATGGATAGGCAGCTGGGTGTGCAGGAGCTGAGGGCTTCCGCGTTCCAGTGCCCTGTCAAGTCGCGAGACCGGATGCAGTCCCCAGGGAGGTCAGGAGCGAGGGGAGGGGAAACGGTAAGGGGCTGAGCCTTGGTCCTGCCAGTTCAAGGGGTCTAGTGCAAAAGAAGGGTCTTATTCACTTGAGCACCTGCGGGTGAGTGGCCAGAGGGGAGGAGGCTCTGAGAGAGGACGGAAGTGTTGGCAGGAGCAGGGAGTTCCCGTCGTAGTCAAATACGTGTGACTACTGACCTGGACCAGAGCTGTTTTGTTAGATGGGAAGCAAAAGCCTGCTTGGAGCAAGCTTGAGACAGAACGAGGAGAGAAACAGGAGACTGAGTGTGGACGTTCATGTGTGAAGAGGACCTGCAGGACGAGTGGAGAGACCTGAGGGGCATCTGAGGGAGAAAGAGCAGGCCTGGCGGGCTGTGAGCAATCAAGGAGGCCGTCTAGAGGGGGCGGGACCTGCTCAGCACTGTCCCTGAGCAGGAAGAGCAGGGTGGCTCAGCGTGCGGGGAGGGGGCGGCCGAGGCAGGGGGCGGCCGAGGCAGGCGCTCCGCAGGCCTGGGCTCGGGCACTGGCAGTGGGCAGCGGCGCTGGGAGTGCGTGCAGCATTTTCTTTGGTTTGCTTCACTTCTTCACTTGAAGGCGTTTTCGTTCTTTTCTTCTTTCTGCGCGGTGATTATCACAATAGAGAATGTGTGCACAGTGACTCAAGGGACTTGGGAGTACAAATCTGGTGTTGATAAGGGAGACACCTACAGAGCAGACAAGAGCTTGTAATCGTCCCATAGCGAACTTTCCCCAGGAGCGTCCGGCTCTGTCCAAACACTTGAGTTCTCACTGTGTCTTGTAGACCCTGATGCCCCATCAGGAGGTGTTGAGTGAGGCACCATCGTCAATGGAAGGGAGGAAGGGAGGAGAGCCGGGGGCACTAAGGTTCTTTCCGCTTCTGCTCTAGGACCCTGGAGAAGATCGTTACGTTTAAAACGTTCGTCACGCAGCTGAGCCTGGCCGTGTTTGATGACCTCAGCCACCACAAAGCGTCCGCGGAACTTCTGAGGCTCACGCTGGACAACGTCTTGGTGCACGCGGGCCCTGGGGCCAGTGCGCTGCCCGGGGAGGAGCCCGCCGCCGCCCTCTTCCAGCTGCACTGTATAGAGGTCTACTGTGGGGACCTGCAGGTGGACAACCAGCTCTATAACAAGTCCAACTTCCACTTTGCGGTCTTGGTCTGCCAGGGAGAAAAGCCAGAGCCCACCCAGTGTTCCAAAACGCAGAGTCTCCTCGCGTCCGGCACCGACCTGGAGGAGTACAAGGAAAACTGCTTTATCAAGCTTTACGTCACCTTAACCGATGGCAAGAGCTCTTGGCTTGATATTAACGAGTTCACCTTTGAACTGAAGCCCGCCCGGCTGTACGTGGAAGACACGTTTGTGTACTACATCAAAACCTTGTTCGACTCGTACCTTCCCAGCTGCAAGCCGGGGGCGCCCTGCGGGGCTCAGCAGGAGCTGCCCGCACAGGTGACCCAGCACGCCAGGGCCCTGGTGAACCCTGTGAAGCTCCGCAGGCTGCTGATCCAGCCGGTGAGTCTGCTCGTCAGCATCCACGCCTCCCTCAAGCTGTACATCGCCTCCGACCACACGCCTCTCGCCTTCTCCATGTTTGAGCGAGGCCCAGTCTTCACCACCGCACGGCAGCTCGTGCACGCCCTGGCCATGCACTACGCCGCCGGGGCCCTTTTCCGAGCAGGTAAGGACACCAGCTGAGGGCCTATGGTGCTCTCGGGCCAGGCAAAGATGACACACCTTGGGTTTGCCTTCACTGTCTCGAGTTACAAGGATGCAGTCGGTGGGAGGTGACACAGGGGGCTTTATCATGAAACAGAACAGGATTCAGATCTAGACTCTGCCGCATTAGATGTAAGATTTGGGGCAAGGTATTGAACCTGGCCAAGCCTCAGTTTCCTCATCTGTAAAATGGGTGTAAGAGTTTTCAGGAGGGAGGAGCATAGAGAGAGACACTGGCTTTGGAACATCACAAAGATCCCATCCCTCATTCGTCAGAGAAGTGGTTTGGTGAAGATGGAAAAAGTTCTGGGGTGGAACGAGTCAGCCAAGTGAGTTCACTCACGTCTTTCCCGTGAAGTTGTAAGGTTTCATTTCCTCTCTTCGGAAGCAAAGCACTACAGAGGTGGGAGATTGAGGGGGTGGGGGGGACAGAAAAAGAAAGAGAGTTTTGAGGGGATCAGATGAAAGTATGTCAAGTACGCAGCATTTGGCTTGGCTGTTGGTGAACACGCCGCTAAGAACAGCTGTGATATTAGCTGTTCCCTAACTCGGGCCTTCAGTTCAGTCTAGGAAATGCTTGCTTAGCCCCTTGCTAAAGGGCACTGAGGCCCTTTCTTAGCATCCTAGCACAGCCAGAGAGCCTAGCGCCGGCCCTTCGTTCCCCAGGCCTAAAAGAACTCCAGTTGTAGCTGGGTGGGTTTCTTCCTCGCTGCTCATGAATAGCCGGAGGTGAGGAATTCCGAGGATTTGTGTGCTCCTAAGGTGCACAAAGAGCCCTCTACCTACCGACCCGCTGTGGCACTGCCCGGCCAGCCAGGCGGCAGAGGGACGGCTGTTGGCATCTCGGCCTCTCCAGAGAGCTGAGACCGCAGGGGAAGAAGGGCCCTTGTGCCAGGCAGGTGGCCTCCTGCGCCGGGGCCGCCTGGGGAGGAGCAGGCTCCGCTTTCCAGACTGGCAGGGCAGAGCTGCAAGGGGCGCGGGATATGCGGACAGAGCGCTCTATGCAGAGTACTGTGCACGGGACATGGACCGAGTGTTGCAGGCCATGTGCACTGCTAACGCACAGGCCCGGAGTGGAGGCCCAAGTTCCCACTGCGAGGCCGTGCTAAAGCGCTCTCGGTTTGATCACCTGCCTCCTAGTGGTCCGCAAGAACTAAGGCGGCCCGGTCAGGCCTCTCCAGCAAAGACCCTGGAGATCTGACTTTGTGAATGCGACAAAGGAGAGACCCCTTGCTCTGTCCTCTGAGTAGCGTCGTGTTCCACAGGTCATCCCTGTGTTAGATTAAGACAACGGCGGTGAGTGACCCTTGCTGCTGTGGGTAAGCGGCCAGGAACCCTGCCCTGCCGGTAGATTACGTTTTCCCCATAATGAAACGCATACGCTCAGCAGGGCCATGCAGAACTCTCTTATAAAAGAAATGACAAGATCAGGGAGAGGGGCCCTGCCAGACGTGTCATTGGGAAAGTATCTCCCTCTTGCGAAGAAATCATTTAAAAATAAGCAGTTAACATTTCCAGTGTAATAGACGGGTATATTTCCAAACTGTTCCAGAAACTCACTCTTCCAGGTGGCTTTTGCTTTTACCATGAGAAGCAGGCACGTAGGTTACGGAGCTCTGATTCAGGCTCCCATGCGGTCTCTGCCTGGTGCCAAGCAGGGGGAGCGCCTGTGTGACGAACTGGTAGAGGAGCTCCACCGTGGCCCCGGGAGCTGTGCCCCTGCCACCCCACTGCTTGAGCGGTCTCTTTGTGGAGCATTTTTCATGAGTTTCCACAGAAGAGTCTATTTGGCTGTTTTTGTTTGTGTTTTGTTCTGTAATTCACCACCTAGAAATGCTGACTGTCCCAGTCTCGCCGTATACTGAGACAAGGAATTCTAAGATAGAGGTCAAGTTTTTCGAACCCATTGGCAGCTCACTCACTAAACAATCTGTGGGCAATCTGAAGGTGACCTCAAAGAAAGCAGCGAAGGAGTGAGCAGCGGAAGGCGGCCAGGGATCCCCAGGTCCCAGGTAGAGAAGGAGAGCATGGAAGATTATTCTCATAGAGGGGGAGCCAGGACTGGCCTGGGAGGGGCACGCTGCCTCCTCATCTCACTGGGGTCAGCACTCACCCATCGGACACTGGAAGCTTCCCGGCTGCCGTTGTTGAAACACCCTGGCCTCATTTCTTGTGCAGTCACTGGAAGGGAACTTAAGTAAAAGGCAGTTAGAAATGAATAGCCAACCTGTTTGCAGGAAAACATGTGGCCTCATATTTCCTTGAGGTCCCTCTCCACCCGCAAGTCTCAGTGTGGTGGGAAGCCAGGAGACTCCCTTTTACCAAAAACTCCCAAACAAGTAAGCTAAAGACTCACTTGTTCAACCTCCATATCCATGGGTTCAGCCCACCATGAACCAAAAATATTCCCAGACAATGCAGTTGACTGAAAATGTACAGACTTGCTTGTCATTGCTCCCTAAACAATACTGTACAGTAACTGTTTGCATAGCATCTACATCCTACTGGGTAATCCAGAGATGATTTAAAAATACATGGGAGGACTATACAGGTTGTATGCAAATACTGCTCACTTGCTGTGAGGGACTTGAGTGTCCAAAGATTTTGGTGTCCACGAGGCATCTTGAAGTCAATTCCCCACAGATATCAAGGGACAAATATATTTACTGTTGGTGGCAGTAACCAAATAAGGAGCACCTGCTCTTTCTGCCCTTTCTGGCCAGCTCAGATGCCACTGAGCTTAGTTAGCTGTGGTCCACACATCCCCCTTCCATTAGGTACTGGTCCTAATCCAGGAGACCTCCACCCACCTTTCATATGGCTGGAAAGAGGTGGCCAGTCTGGGACATTCCACTGCATGTGCCCACTGTACTCATCCAGGTGGCCTATGGGAGCGTAGTCTTTGCTTGGCAAGAGTTACTCTCCCTTGTACACTGTTTTTTTTAAGCTTTTATTTAATGAACACAATTTTCATAGATACAACTTTAGGAACACAGTGGTTTTTCCCCCATACCCACCCTCCATCCCCTACTCCCATCCCACCAACTACTCCTCCCATTCCATTCTTTAAGATTCATTTTTAATTAAATTTTTATACAGAAGACCAACTCTATACGAAGTAAGGATTTCAACAGTTTGCACACATACACACACACACACACACACACAATGTAAAAAGTACTGTTTGAAAAAAAGTTTTGCAGTTAATTTTCATAGTACAACTCATTAAGGACAGAAGTCCTACATGGGGAGTAAATGCACAGTGACTTCTATTGTTAATTTAACAATTAACACTCTTATTTATGACCTCAGTGATTACCCAAGGCTTTTGCCATGAGCTGCCAAGGCTATGGAAGCCTTTTCTGACCACAAATTCCATCAGTATTTAGACAAGGCCATAAGCAAAGGGGAAGTTCTTTTCTCCCTTCAGAGAAAAGTACATCCTTATTTGATGGCCTCCTCTTTTCACTGGGGTCTCATTCACACAGATCCTTCATGTAGCATATTTTTGCCATAATGTCTTGCTTTCCATGCCTGCATTGCTCTCATGGGCTTTTCAGCCACATCCAAATGCCTCAAGGGCTGATTCTGAGGTCAGAGTGCTACTTAAAGTGATTGTCATTCTATGAGTCTGCTGTGTGACTGCTTCCCTTGTTGGATATTCCCTCCTTTTTAATTCTCTGTTGTTATTACCAGGCACTTGATGCTATTTCTATAGTTTCTTTAACACTTAATCCTATCTATAAGTTCCTTGTATACTCTTTGGAGAGAAGGAGAATTAATAAGTCTCTAGATCACCCTTATTCTTTCAACCATCCCAGACTACACGGAATCTGCCCTTTCTTTACCTCCACACCTGGGCCCTCTCACAAGAATATTGCCCAGCACCCTTCATGTTCTTTGCAACCTGGGCTCCTGCTGGGGGGAAGGGCGGAGCTTTGGAATCAGGTAACCCCAGCCCAAGGGTCTAACCAGCTGGCGGTTGTGAGTGTTGGGCTCATCTCTGAGCTTCAGTTCCCTCCTTTCCCTACCTGTCTGTGAGACCGAGAAGTCGGAGTAAGACTGTGCTGGACTTGCCTCTACTCCTGTGCCAGGTCTATTCCCGGGCCCCACACAGCAGCTCAGTCATTGGTTTACTTGGCTCTGCTTGAAGGGGCATAGTTGTACCTGTCTCACATGGCTGCTGTGAGCATCGGCTGCACTCCCAGCACCTGCAGGTCCTCCCGCCGCGCTCCTCCTCCTCTGGAACCCACACCTACTCTGAGCAGCCCCTGGTGTTGGCTTCCCAGTGTTGCTGAGAAGAGGAGGACTCGCAACAGGAGAAAGTTCCTGTCCACACCAGCTGGGCCCGCGAGCCCCCCGGGACCCTGCCTTGGCCTGAGCACTCAACCTTTGCCATCCTCTCAGACCAGGAGCTGCACGGAGAGCCTGCCGCCGAGGGAGAAATGGCCCTCGCTCAGGTCCTGGCCCCACGGCCTTCCCGGCAGAGGGGAGGTCAGCGGGGTCCCGGAGCAAACTGCCTTTTCCGATTCCTCCTCTCTTTGGCCTCCTGCCTTTGCCTGTCCCTCCTGTCCCCTGGGTCTGCAGCCCCCAGTCCCCAGCCTGTGTAGGCCAGGGCAGCCTCGGGGGAACTCTGCACCCCAGCCTCATTCCCACGAGGCAGCACGCGCTGCCAGGCCAACTCCTGGCAAGCCCAGGCCTCCACAGGAAACCAGATCCAAAGCCACCCTCCTGGGACCTTCCCAGGGAACACTCCCCTCCTGCTAACCTAATCAGTACGTCCCTGTCACTGATGTTTACACAACCGAAGCCGGGGTTGAAGGGGAGACATTTGTCTGGCTCTAGCTCTGCTCCAAAGGGAAGCACTCAACTTGGTAGGATTGGGAAAGATTAAAAATAACTCCTCCAGCCTTGTCAGAAGTTCGCATCCCCTTTGCAGTGCCCCACTTAGCATCTGGCCTCCTCCCCGGGCCCAGGCCTCCCCTCCAGGCTGGGGCCTCGGCTGCCCTGTGGAGATGGCAAGCAGGCACCACCAAGGCACCTCCCCTGGACTGGCCGGTGCATGGTCCCTGCACGCAGATCCCTTTCTGCAGGCACACGGGAGGCTCGGGCCAGGAAGTCTGCTGAAAGCCATCTGTGGGCTGCCCGAGGATCGCTGATTTATAAAGTTACAAGGTTTTCCATGAATGCGTTCACCCTGAATGAGCTCTTCCCCATCTTCTGCCCTCGAGCCTAGTGTGAAAAACAGGCTGCAGGGAGAACAGGGTCGCAGTTTCCCTGGCGTTGTAAGTGCCGTGTTGGTGGCGCCAGTAACCCCTGCCCTCTGTCCCCCGCAGGCTGGGTGGTTGGGTCCCTGGAGATCCTCGGCAGCCCGGCGAGCCTGGTGCGAAGCATCGGGAACGGCGTCGCCGACTTCTTCAGGCTTCCGTATGAGGGGCTGACGCGGGGCCCCGGCGCCTTCGTGAGCGGAGTTTCCAGAGGAACGACCTCGTTCGTGAAGCACATCTCCAAAGGTAGCGTCCCCGGCCCGCCTGGTGCCGCCGCCGGCCTAGCCTTCCGTCCCCGTCTCCTGCTCCCTAAAGAACGCGCGTTTCCAGTGCCTTCAGCCTGCCCCTGGCTTTGGCTTGTTAGCTTGTAACAAAGCTCGTATGCAATGGCTTATGTTTTAAACAGAGCACTGCGTGCCTGTAGTGTGTGAAAATGTTTCAGAAACTTCAGAATTTTAAACCTCCCGTTGGGAAAACGAGGATTGGCCCAACTGTTCTTCCGTGTGATAAACACACAAATGTTAAAGGTGTTCGAGATTTCTGCTACACATCAGAAATCCTACACCATGTTGCCTCATCGCAGTTTTTAAAATGTAGATACAGTTACTTTGGTAAGGACCCGGACACACGGTGACAAGGACTGGGACTTGGAGGGAGAACGGCCGCTCTCCCAGGGAGCTGTGTCAACAGTGCCATCTTGTGGCCCACACGGGCGCAAGGCACCGACACCAAGCTGCCCCTGCCAGGAATCTGAGTGTGAGCCGAGTGCATTTGCTTGGTGATATTTTGGGCAGGTTGGCAGTGGCTCGGGAGCTAACCAGGGCCATGTGAGTCCCCTTTTCTTCTCCGCGGGAGGCAGGGGAACTGGGCAGAGGCCTTCTTCCCATAAAAGGCATCTTCCCGTAGACAGTGCTGCCACTCCATCGTAAGTGGGCAGGTTGCGGAAGTCTCTAGAAGGCCTCAGAACACTTGGGTTTGAAATATGAGAATCCGTGATCCGCACAGAGGGGCCGGAGCCTCTGGGTAGGAGGTTGGCAGGAGGACAGCAAGAGGAAGAAAAACAAATTCCAAGGACAATGAAAAGGACCACTCCCCCAGCCCCCAAATCACCGGGGAGGCCTGGGAGTGAGCCGCAGAAACTCGCGCGATGAGTCATCCGGACACTCATTTTAAAGTAAGACGATCAACACCTGCTACAGTGAACCTCAGCGGTAACTCTAGCAGCCTGGCTCACTGCGAGTTTCCTACACTTGTTCTCCCCTTCTCTCAGCAAGAGCCATTTGGTTTGCTGACATCTCTCTCTGTCCCCCTCCCTCCCTCTCTTTCTCTGTGTGTGTGTGTGTGTGAGTGATCTTTTCAGATCACTGGTAGAGATGCACCTGTGACAGTGCCATCTGCCATTTCTTCCTGAAGCCAGAGATCTGAAAACAGCTGAGCTAGTCCGTGGGCTTCGGGCTGTGCCCGCTGATGCCCCGGTTTGCTGGTGAGATAGAAGCAGTCTTGCTGGAGGGGCTCGGGGTGTTCTGAGCAAGATGCAGGAAGGAAAACCACGCAGCCGCGAGGCTCACATGCGACCCTCCCCCTGTGTCGTGCTCCGCGTTCCCGCTGCTTCCTGACTGTGGCACAGGGACTGCCTCGGAATGCCACATGGTAGGCTCGGTGCTGCCCTGTGCGGCGACGGAGGCGATAAAGAGGGAATGCCTTTAACTCCTAAGGTGGAAAGCAAACCCTGCCCTTTAAAATCCGAGCAGGCAAATGCTACGCTTCCCAGGTTGGCCTTGGGGAGCGGGCCTTTAGCCTTAGAGTTAAGAATCCCAGCTCCGGCTCCTGCCTCCAGCTTCCTGCTAATGCTCCTCCTGGTGGTTGGGTCCCTGGCACTCACAGAGGAGACCTGGGTCGCATTCCTGGCTCCCAGCCCCAGCTCCATCCTAGCCCCGGCTATTGCAGGCCTCTTGGGGAGCGAACCAGCAGATGGGAGCTCCCTGGCTGTCTCTCTTCTTAAGGCGCCTCACTGAGGACTTTGAAATTGGTCGGAGTGAGCCTTGACCACCCAGTGATAGGGAAGGATGTGCGACTCTTGGCTTCTGTGTGGCGACAGGGACTCTCGCCTCCCCCTGGGAAGGGTGCTGCCCGCCTCCTGCACCCGTGCGACTCCACCTTGCAGTCCTAAGGCTCCCACGCCACATGACCCAGGAGAGGACATGTCCCGCCACTGACACGGAGACCAACGCTGTGTTCTTGTCCCCACAGGTACCCTCACGTCCATCACCAATCTGGCCACCAGCCTGGCCCGGAACATGGACCGGCTGTCACTGGATGAGGAGCACTACAACCGGCAGGAGGAGTGGCGGCGGCAGCTCCCGGAGAGCCTGGGCGAGGGGCTGCGGCAGGGCCTGTCCCGGCTGGGCATCAGCTTGCTGGGTAAGAGCGCGCGCCTGGCCGTGTGCACACAGGCTCTGCAGGCTGGGCTGGGCATCAGCTTGCTGGGTAAGGGGCGCGCCTGGCCGTGTGCACACAGGCTCTGCAGGCCGGGCCGGGCATCAGCTTGCTGGGTAAGGGGCGCGCCTGGCCGTGTGCACACAGGCTCTGCAGGCCGGGCTGGGCGCCGCTGGGCCTCCGTGGGGGTGGGGGTGGCGGGGAGCTGGCCCCTCTCTCTGCAGACAGAGCTGAGGCTCTGAGAGCCCCGGGGCCAGGAGCCTGCTCCTGGTGACATCCTAGACCCTGAAAGCAGCAACTGCCCGCACAGACGCACACGCCCTGCCCTCCTTTCCTCTGCTCTCAAGCGGGGTGTGGGCCTCCACGTGGCTCTCTAAAGGACCGAGACATTGGCTGGCTGTCCCCTGAGCACGGTGGCAGCACCCCAAGGACAGCCGCGTGCAGCTGTGTGTGTTGCCAAGCACGAGCGGCCGCCCTCGGCCCTCCCTGAGGGAGGCCCAGCAGGGGGCTTTGAGTGAGCAGCACCATGCCAGCGTGGTGCCAGCTCCGGGGAGGAGCCCGCCCCGGCCTGTCTCGGTGTCACAGTTTGCGGGCAGCCCGCTGGGACGCTGAGAGGTGCACGTTGCTGTGGCTGTTTTAAAATAGCACAAATGTTTGAAAATAGGAGACTTTGGAAAAATCTATAAAAAGGAAGCTTCAGTGCTGAAAGTTTACAGAGCAGGATTTTCAAGGGTAGTTTTGTTTATTTGCTTGCAAAGGAATTTAAAACTGTATGGCTTGGCCACCAGCCTGCCGCACATCTGAGCGAGCGTGCGCCTCCCCGAGATCAAAGCGGCCAGCAGCGCGCAGGGGAGCAAAGATGAGCTTGAGAGGCTGCTCCGCGCGCTCGCCCACCTTGGGTTCTCTGCACAACTCGCCCTTGCAGCCGCCGCCAGCTGAGGCTCTGGGAGGAAGCAGTAAAACGTTACAAGTTCAGGTTAAGTTACTAGAAACGGCTGTAACATTCCGCGGTGTGGGGCACTGTCATCTGATAACGCGTGGAAATGGGGACGCGAGTGAGCACGCGCTGTACGTGGCTCAGCAACCCAAGGCGGCCTGTCCGGGGAAGGTGGTGTGGTGCAGTGGGCAGACCACGTGCCCCACGAGGCCGGAGCCCGCGGTTGGGCATCCATATCTCCTCTTTATGACCTCAGGCAACGCCTTCTCTTCTCTGAACGTGGGTTTCTCTCTTGTAAATTGGAGCCGCTGATACCACTGTTGGAAATATGGGTGGCCGGGTGCGTGGTGGGCATGCAGTGCCTGTTTGGTAAACGGCGCCTGTCATTGTTGTGTGATGACAGCGGGGGAGCTGGAAGAGGCGCCCACTTTCAAAGAGTATCCCAGCGAAGACAGACGCTCGACAGGTGGCAGGGGCGCTTTGGCTTGAGTTTAGTCCAGTGAGTGAAATCGCTGTAGCCAGAAAAGGTGACAGGGAGGATATCTTGAGGACCACTGTCTGGGGACTCTGGAATCTTCTTGGGCCCTTCGCTCAGTTCTACATGGCATTGCCAGGTGACCAGAAAGAGACCTGAGCAGGCTGGCCGGTGGCTGGCCCCACCTTGACACCGTGAGCCCTATAGCGACAGGACTGTGTGTTCTTCCCATCCAGAGAAGCCCGAGCCGCTGCTGCTCACTGCCACCGTGTCAGGCTGTGCCTGATGGTGGCGAGCAGTCACGTGAGGAGCCGGGACTGCACCACTGATGTCACCTTTTGTTGTTTTAAGCTTTAATTTATTTATTTATTTGAGATCTAGGTGTACAGAGAGGGAGAGAGAGAGAGAAGTCTTCCATCCGCTGGTTCACTCCCTAAATGGCCACAATGATCAGGAGCTTCTTCCAGGCCTCCCACGTGTGTGCAGTGGCCCAAGGACTTGGGCCATCTTCCACTGCTTTCCCAGGAGCATTAGCAGAGAGCTGGATCAGAAGTGGAGCATTGCAGGTGGCCACAGCACCAGCCTCTGATGCCACCTTTTGGGCCGTGGCTCCTGTTGACAGGGTAGAGAGCCACAGAGCTCTGACCTGTGCTGTGCCGCCTACGACCTCATGCACACAGGGCGTCCTCCAGTCTATGTGCGGAAACTGCCTAGCACACCTGTGATCTTTCCCCATCTCTCATCATTTCCAGAGACCTGTACATTCCGGGGGTGACGTAATTCCCTCTCTGGTGTATACCAGCTGCACCCGCCAGCACTGGCTCACCCCGGGGCTCCTGGGAGCACGGGTCCTAGCCTGGCTCACGACCTGAACATGCACCTGTTTCTGGACACACACACACACACACACACACACACAGAGTTCCCAGCGGCCCTCCCATCTCCGCCTTCCGTTACGTCTAAGAGGTCAGAAGCCTGTCTGTGTCCATATTCTCTCTGGATTCTCCCAGGTCTGCCCAGCGCAGGGAGGGGTGAGTCTGCTGGCTTTGGACAGACTAAAGTCGGAGCCATTAGCACGCGGTAGCTTGAAAGCCAGTCCCCCCTCCACAGGACCGAAGCTCTCAGGGCCCAGGGAGTGAAGCGTACTCGCAGGTTCCATATTGCCTCATTTCATCTTCACGGCCCCAGGTGCCCACGCTGAACAGTGAGCGGCTCAGGTCAGGTCAGGCCGTCAGCCAGGGCCTCCGCTGTGCCCCCATGGCTGGAAGCAACTCGAGTGTGGGGAGACCATGGGGAGACCTACTGGTAGAAGGCGGAAGGCCACACTGCCCATGAGCCTCCAGGGGCTCTGCGAAGCATGAGGCAAGAGTGGGGCTCTGTATGGCCCCAGGGCAGCAACGAACCTCCCTGCTGGCCCAGAGAGGCTGCTGAGGCTTTTGGATGAGCCCATAATGGTGTTTTTCCAAAAGCGACAGCTTTGGAAAACCACGGCGTAGCCTGCAGAACTGGCATTAGCCTTGCCCACATTGACCAAATGCGTTTCCCCAAACACCCACACTCCCCACCGTGCCCGGAGCCTGTGCTGGGGAGGCAAGCGCAGTGCCTGTCCCTGCTCCCTCTGCGGCCCCACCCGACCCTGGTCCTCCCTCAGGACACCCAGGGCACGCCCCCACAGGCCACCCACGGGGGGAGTGGCCCAAGGTGCCGCCTGTCTGGCTCTGACCTTTCTGGACACTAGGGCTGGCCTGGGCAGGAAGGGACACACACTCTGGGGCTCCCATTTTTGTCTGGCATAGGAAGTACTCGCCTGGGGTCCTGGCTTAGGCCTGTGTCTCTGTTGCTGTGACAAGGAGCAGGTGGCAAGGCCAGCATCAAACCGGCCACGCAGGTGACTGGGACTTGGAGAGACCGGTGACCTAGCAATTTTGCCAAAGGCCAGGGAGCGAGTCCCAGGGGAGGGAAAGGGCACCCATGAAGTCCCCTGGCTCCCAGAGGAAGGCACAGGACACACAGCTCCCCACATCCTGCCTGCCCCAACGTGGAGGCTGGGGAGACGCCCTCCCAGGCGCCCTGTGTCCCGCACCTCGCCTCATCACGTCACAGCCGCCTCCATGTGGCTGCCCAGCCGCAGCCCGACACCAGCCGACGAGGCTTGGGATCGGTTTGTACCCCGTGGAGCCTGGGAGCCAGTCTGAGTGGATGACGGGAAGTAGCCTCCCAGATGCGGGCACCAGAGCCCACCTCCCCACGGCAATGCCGCGAAGCAGCAGCTGGTCCCTGCCTGCCCCATACTCGCTGGCTGTGGCACCTGGTGACCAGTGAGGTGCCCGGGTGTGCGACGGGCATTTCCCCGGTGTGGCACTGGGCTGAGGGCAGGTGACCTGGACCAGCCAGCAGCTTATCAGTGACCTGGAGAGCATGCGCCCAGCGGTCTGCTCTTCAGCACGGACACCTTGCAGAGAAATCAGATAATGGGGTCCCAAAAGCAGCTGTTCACTCGGAGCCCTGTGCCATGAAAGGGTCCCAAGAGGAGATCAGGGTTCCTGCCTCTGCCAGGTGGCCCTGGGAGCCCCGTCTCAGAGCTGGAGGGCGGAGCTGCCGAATGTGTGGAGCTGTGGTGACCCCCAGCCCAGGGCAGCTGGGAGCAGCGGCCCCGGGGAAGGTCTGGGAAGGGACGCCGCAGGCCGGGAGGCGGCCCTGTCACCTCAGTGCTTGTCCATCTGTCAGCACACAGACCCCAGCGGCGTTGTCAAAGCCTGGATGAGAACCCAGGAGGAGCACGCCCGTAGCGTGACTGGATTTTGTGCAGCGGACTATGGCTGGAAATGAGCAGGTCTCGCCTCCAGCCTGGGGACTCTCCGTTCTCCCAGGAGACCCGGACTCAGTGGCACCATGCGGTCTACACTGCAGGGTCTTGTCAGGAGGACTGTGCATCTCGTCATCTCAGCAGGTGGGAGCTGAACAGAAGCCTGCGGCGCCCTGGAAGGAAGTCCGCCATTTTGAGCTGGGAACCCTCTGTGCCCAGCGAGCTCCGCGCATCAGACCCAGCTGCCCCGCCTTTGGCAGCCGGGTGGCCTCGGGAGCTCCTGAAAGTCCCTGCCGCAGTGTCCTCATCGGAGACACGATGGAAACAAAAAGCAAAACGAGGATCGTGAGGATGATCTTATACAGGCAAAGCTCTTCACACAGCCTCGGCACCTCAGCGTGGATGGGGGCCACGCCAATCGCTACCATTAACTACATTGTTATTTTTTTTTTAATATTTATTTTATTTGAAAGAGTTACACAGACAGAGGAGGAGAGGCAGAAAGAGAGGTCTTCCAACCGCTGGTTCGCTCCCCAAATGGCTGCAATGGCCAGAGCTGCGCCAATCCATTCTGGACTGACCCTCACAGACCCAAGCCGGGTGGGCCAGACCTCAGTCTCTCAGCCAAGTGGTACATAAGTGGATAGCAGCGAAGCGCGTAATGAGAGTGGGACTCACTTCCCGTGCGCGAGACCGCGCTCCCCGCGCAGGGTCTCGTGCATGTCGCGGCCCTGTCCTCACCGAGGCCTTTGTCCTTGCAGGGGCAATCGCGGGCATCGTGGACCAGCCCATGCAGAACTTCCAGAGGACGTCGGAGGCCCAGGCCTCGGCGGGACACAAAGCCAAGGGCGTCATCTCGGGCGTGGGGAAAGGACTCATGGGGGTGTTCACCAAGCCCATCGGAGGCGCGGCCGAGCTCGTGTCCCAGACCGGCTATGGTAAGTTGGTGGCAAGCCCAGGGGCCCGCCCCGGCCCTCGGGGGTGCAGGGGGACCTGAGCCGCTCTGGTCCTTCACGCGGCGGACGAGCAGGTAACGAGTAACTTTCCCTGTGCCTGTTCGCGGGGTGGGACCACACTAGTAACAAACCAGGACATGGCTGAGTAATTTCACAGTGTAGCATCACGGAACCTGTTTGCAGTACAATTAACAGACGTGAAGAGCAGTGTGGCGAATCCGTAGTAGCAAAGGAAGGAATCCCTCCTTTTCCCTGGGAGGAATGCGGGGGAAGACGCAGGGGCAGGCAGGGAGCAGTCTGTGAACCGCAGGGGCCCGTGCGGGCTTTCTCCCCTGCAGGCGCCGTCCTGCACCTTCGAGCCCTGCCGAGTCTCCCGGCCACGCAGAACAGAAATGCGCGGTCCACGGCCGCAGCCTCTCGGCCAGCAGGCTGCAGGGAGAGTGTGGGCCTGCGGCCCCACGTGCGTGTACTTGGGTGAGGGGGGCGCATGCCAGGGCCTCCCCCGTGCGCCCAATGCGGCTCTGTGCAACCATGTGACCGAGACTCGGCTGTCATTGTTCGGGTCACGGGGCAAGCGGGCTGCCCGGCAGTGCCACGCACCACACATGGGCTCTCCTGCTTGTCAGACGCAGGACACTCTGGGTGGCCTCCCACACCTCAGCGGGCAGAGCAAGGCGCCCTGGACACGGGCACACGTGGGCTCTGCGAGGATGGCTCCTGGCAGCAACCCCCGCCCGCTGCCGCCCCGGGCACCCTTCAAGAGACCACCCAGCCATAGGCGTGCGGGCCTCCCCTCCCCGCGCCCCTCCACCTCTCCCAGAGACATCTCCACTCACACGGGGGCTGCCAGGAGGACCCCCTGCAACTCAGAAGTGGAAAAAGTGAAGCCCTCCCCTATCAAACGGCTGCCCCTTCCCGTGCACGGACCCAGGACGCTCCTGGACGTGGCTCGTACTCCGTCACTGCTCTGGGCTCCGAGAACGCCCCCGCCCCTCCCCGCGTGCTCGTCGGCCGCAGGGGCCCTCGCTTATGTAAGAGCCTCTCGGAGCAGAGCTTCACATGGCCCTTTGGGTTTCCATCACTCTTGTAAAACTTTTACTGCCGCACTGAAGGTTTTACAGACCACTAACTCTTAGTCTAATGACTGTGCCTCGTTCATAAACGTTTACAAGGCCTCAGAAAGCACACAGCCGGGGCCATCTTTGGCTCGCGAGTCTCTTCGGGGCCCTGTGTGGCTGCTGCTGGGTGCCCCATTGGGTGCTGGCCCCAGGGACAGCGCGAAGCCGGCCTCGGCCCCCAGAGCTCACGTACACGGCCGCGGCTTCCCAGCTGTGCTGTCCCCTAACGTTTAGTGCCGCAGCCAGGCAGGCCGCGTGCCTGTGCGTGTGTGCAGTGTGCTAGTCTGTGACCAGCCCTAGCACAGATCCAGTCCAGGGGTACCGTGCTGCATGACGTCAGCTAACGAGCGTGGCTGCTCTGGCAGAAATTCCGAGTGACGTGTGAGCACGGCCGCCCGTCTGTGCCTGGACTCGGGCACTTTCCTGCTTCAGTTTGCAGCTCATGTCGGGTCACCAGGGTTGAGAGCATTGCAATGGTTAGTGATTCTCTTTACGCCTGCCTCCAAAGATGTGACGTCATCCTGGGTCTGTAACGTGTATGGACGCCTCTAAGCAGATGACGTCACTGCCGCGCGGAACCCCTTCCTTCCTCTCCACAGGTATCCTCCACGGAGCTGGACTTTCTCAGCTTCCCCGGCAGCGCTATCAGCCCAGCGATCTACGTGCTGACCAGGCCCCAAACAGCCACGTCAAATACGTCTGGTAAAACTGCGGACACTCGCTCCTGGCTCGTGCGCAGGCTAATGGGCCGTGTGCTTCCGGGGGGACCCAGGACGAGCAGCTGTTTTTGGCTCCAGCATCTCGAGCAGCACAAGGGCATCCCGAGGGCCCCGTCTGCAGCCGGCTGCGGAGCCTCAGGGAGGGGCTGTGCAGTGGCCTGGGGGAGGGGCGGGCACCTGGTGGAACCAGTGTTCCAATTAGGGGGCCGCTTCTCATGGAGGAAAGGCACTAAGTGAAGTGGAGGAGATGGTTTTTTTTTTGATGTTCTTTTTTTGTGTGTCAGCTACGAAGATTTATTTGTTACACAAAGAGAGGAGAGAGGTCCTCCATCTGCTGGTTCACCCCCAAGTTGGCCGCAATGGCCGGTGCTGCGCTGATCTGAAGCCAGGAGCTTCCTCCGGGTCTCCCATGTGGTTGCAGGGGCCCAAGGACTTGGGCCACCTTCCACTGCTTTCCCAGGCCATAACAGAGAGCTGAATCAAAAGTGGAGCAGCCAGGTCTCGAACCGGTGCCCATGTGGGATGCCGGCACTTCATGCCAGGGCGTTAACTTGCTACACCACAGCACCAGCCCCATGGAGATGGGTTCTTTGGACCAGACTCCGAGACCCAATTCGCCAGTTACACTTCAGCCTAACATTAGCAGTGTGAGAGTGAAGGCCCCTTCTCGCCCTGCATGGGGAACTTGTGTAGGGTGGTCCCAACCCTGGGCACACGGGGCACTGAGCTCCTGGCCTTTTTTCTCCACCGCAACAGGAAAATGCTGCAGTCTCTGGGCCGCCCAGAAGTCCACATGGCCCTGGACGTGGTCCTGGTGAGGGGCTCGGGCCAGGAGCACGAAGGGTGCCTGCTGCTGACGTCAGAAGTGCTCTTCGTGGTGAGCGTCAGCGAGGACACCCAGCAGCAGGCCTTCCCCGTCACGGAGATCGACTGCACGCAGGACAGCAAGCAAAACAACCTGCTCACCGTGCAGCTCAAGCAGCCGAGGGTGGCCTGTGACGTGGAGGTGGGTTCCAGCCGACGGGGCACCATATGAATTAAACAGGGCTGGGGTGCTTTAGTGGGTGTGACAGTTGAGCTCCAAAATGAGCGAGTGGGAACCAGCGAGGCTCACAGCAGCAGTCCCAGGCCACTGCTCCACAAGGGCCCCAGGGCTGCCTGTGGCAGGTCTGTGGGTGCAAGAGGGCCCTACATGAAGTTCAGCTCCCTCCCCACACCCAGCCCCTGAGACTTCAGGGGTCAAATGCTGTGACGGGGCTCCCCCTCCCCGGCCACCGCTTTGTAATCTGCGGCCATGTGTTCCCTTTCCCGTGGGATAATTTCCCGTCTCGTAAGTACCACAGGGGCTCCTGGGGCAGCTCCATGGCCCGAGATGTGCTGGCCGACAGAAGTGGAAGTGGAGGGGGTGCTCCCAGGGGACGTACTGAGTGCCAGGGGTCAGAGGCAAGCCCTGAGCAGGACACGAGCGTCCTGCAGTCCAGCCCAGGGTCAGCAGGTGCACCCACTGCAAAACTGCTCTCTGCTCCCGACTCCCGGTGAGCGCCTGCTCCACGGGGCCTGCGTGTGACCTGCGAAGCTTCTTTCCCATGACAAGGACTGAGTGCCCCCAGCAGGCCCAGCCCGATTCCTCCTTTCATTTTCTTCCTGATATGGGAGCTTGTGTCTCCCTCACACCCGTTTGGGTAAAATTTTCTGAGAAGGTGGAAAGCAGCCAAGCACAACAACTCTATAAGATTTCTCTAGTTTCTTGGATCCTAATCAGTCAGGCTTTAAGCTGGGGCTTGGCACCAGGACTACATTGCTGCTGCAAGTTGATGACTTTCTGGGAATAAACAGAGGTCAGATGTCCAGGCTGATTTTATTACATCTGCCGAAATCTTCTGATCCAGTTGACAATAAAGCAGCAGTGACCTGGCTGCAGGATTTGGCCGGGGATGGAATGGGATCATTATCTGCACATCCTTACACCGAGGCCCTAACAGTGTCTGTGACCGTCGTCGTCCCTTAGCTGCTTGCTCAGTGTCTGACATCTTACAACTCCCGAGACCAGAAATTAGCTCCTTCTGTTGAACTCTACTGTCTTCAGTTGTGAGCGCTTGCATTTCTGCGTGAGGAGGGTCCTGTGAGGAGTTACCACTGCTTCTCCAGGGGCCGTTGGGAGGATCGCTGAGGTCACGCCCCTAGAAGTTGCCAAGGATAACCGAGCCCATGCAGTCAGACGCCCAGGACGCCATGCGCAGTGCTGGTTTTCCCTGGGTGTCCCGGCCCGAGGGTCAGGGTTGAGCGCTGGCTCCAACAGAGGCAGGGAAAGGTGGCTGCGGAGCAGGCAGGCTGCCAGCGGAGACGGGCCCTGAGCTCCGCCGGCCGGCACCGGCTCCTGGGCCCGCGCTGCCCCGTGTGCCTTCACCTGATGTCTCCTCCACTTGCCCCATCCAACCTCCCCCCGCCCCAGCCCAAAGAAGATTCAAGCTAGACACAACGCTGCTTATCAAAGGTGCCGTGAACTAATGTATGTCAGGGTGTGGGGGGTGTGGGTGGGAGTGGGGGTTCGGGCTGCTTTGACAGTTTTCTTCAGTTGCCCTTCTCACATCAGCACACAGAACACAACCCAGATCCGCAGCTTGGTTAGGAAGCCTGCTGCTGTCCTGTAGTCAAAACCACGAGCGCTCTTCCAAGATCTTTACATAAAATGGCTTTTCTGATTTATTGCTTTTGCCTTAGATGCTAGGAAACACAGCACCTTTGAATTTTGGAAGGAATTAATTTGTAGATGACATCATTCAGTACATTCAAATATGGCAGGATTCAGCTTTTTTGAAAAAAATCTACATTTGCTTTTCTTGGTTAAATGCAGCCATTTTTAGGGGTAATAATTGCTTAATATGCCTGGCACATTATTGAAATCCCTTCTGAGAGGCTCAAAATGAGTCAGAAGGTCAGTTTATTCCTTGGCCAGGTTCCTTTCACAACACGGGTTTCCTGTGCTGCTGTTCAGGAGGAGCAATTAAGACTCTGTGTATTCCAAGCTCCCCAGCTGAATCCTGCCCCATCAGATGATATCATCAGAGCTCTGGCTTTAGCCTGGTGGTACACAGCTTTCATCTGTCAGTGAACCTTTAGGGGCCTTTATTTTCTTTCCCAAGCTGAAAAATACGAGACCCAAACTCTTAACGGATGCCCCCCATCTTCCTCTGACAGGCCCCTCTCCCATCTCACTGGCTTTCTGCAGCTTTTAAACCATTTTGCGCTGTACTGTTTCTGAGCCGCACATAGACATGTATAGGAATTCTTTGTTACCACTACTTTGAGGATTTAAAGGCCCTTGTTAAAAGTTTACAACCCATGCGGAGTGGTTCTGCTCGGAGGGCAGCAGCTGCCTCCTGGCCCAGCCAGTGGCTTGCACGGCAAACTCGCCGCTCCACCTGATCTGCACACCAGCTAGCCCAGGGCTTGTGTGGGGAGAATTTATAGCTCTAACTGCCTCTGACAGGTACTTTCTCAGAAAATCTCACTTAAGAACTGAGGTAGTTTATCTCTGCTCTCCTATTCAAGTTCCACTGAAGATGAGCCAGACTTTTATGAACTATAAATGTACTTTGTATCCTCCCTTTTTCCATAAAAATTTCCCCTTCCTCTGCCCAGTTTTTCTATTTTCTCTGGCTTTAAATCCTTGTATTTATAAAAACAGAAAATGTTACAGTTCAAAAGGTATTTTTTTCAATGCTGTGTCCAAAGCCACTTTTACAAGAGGTGCTCTGCTCAACTTTTTTGGGGGAGTCAAATCAGATTTTACCTAAAGAGGTTTTTCAGGGGTTGGGGTGCTGAGGCTGACACAGCTTTTACTTCCGGGAGCCGAGTTTACTTTAACGTTGCTTAGATTTCGGCTGGTTGGTAAAGGGCACTGGCGGACGTCTGGAAGCTGCAGTCAGATCAACTTAAACTGTGCGTCCGACGCGCTTACCCTAACGGAAGTGGTCCTGATGTTCTCCCCACAGCTGCGGTGCTAGAGGAGAAATAAAAAAGGAGGCTGTTTGGGATAAGATGACTTTATTAGATGACCTAACAGGTTCAGGGGGCAAAAGACCAGGAATAATTTTGCTGTGAAAGTCTCATTACAAGGGTTTGGCAGGTGACGACTCTGTCTTGTTGGGTCCCAGGTGGATGGAACGCGGGAGAGACTGTCAGAGCAACAGTACAACAGACTTGTGGACTACATCACCAAGACAGCTTGTCACCTGGCCCCCAGCAGCTCTTCCGTGCAAACACCTTGCCCCGTGGTGGCTGTGGAGCCTCCCCCCTCCACTGTTAAAACCTACCATTACTTGGTGGATCCACATTTCGCTCAGGTCTTCGTAAGTAAATTTGTCATGGTGAAAAATAAAGCCCTGAGGAAAGGGTTCCCTTGAGACCAGAGGTAACCGACTCCTGCTTGTGCACTTTATTTTTGAAAAGCAGAAACCTGGCTACAGCCAATGTGAGTATAACGTCAACATCTTGCTATTTAGTAGTAACATTCTCCCTAAAACACCGAAGATTCTTTAAAATCAAGTAACCCAAAGTTTGTTTCCCTCCTGAAGACAACAGTGTACAGAATCCTTCATGTTGTATTCTAAGTACACACAGAAAATGCATTCCTTTCTGCTCCATAATGCTGTCTCCCAAAACTTCCTCTATAATTTGGATCTGGTCACTCTCTAAAGCAAAATGTGGTCAGGAGTGAGTTAGGAGAATTGGAGTTAAAATTTCATTCCTAATTGCATCTGGTTGGGCACTCAGTGTGCAGAGGTTTCGATTCTTGTTTAACTTGGTAACTCTAACTTGTATGTGATGCTACTCTTGCTAACAGCTGCTATATACATACTCCCTTTGAAGTCTGCAAACTACTAGAATTTGCGAGTCTGATAACACTGCAGGTGCATTTTGGAAAACAAGTGTCCAATTTGTGTTTACTAGACAAGCTCACAAACCTCCTGTGTCTATCAGTACTCAGGAAGCTTAGCTCCGTGAAAGAAACCAAACCTCCTAGGAACTCCCTGGGCACTGGAGGAGAGTTAAGAACCCCAGTTAATGCTGACAATAACAGAGGTCCAGATAGTTCACTCTGCTGAGTTGACTTGATAAAGCATAAAAATATTCCCAGTGTCTAAGAATGGGTTTGGCTCAAATTCCCAGGTCACCAGAATTCTTCAGTGTTCAGTAAATAGTCTAATGAAATTAAAACATGTTTTCAAAAGACATCTGAACCTGGGACTTACAATTTTGAAATGCTAAGAAAATGCAATTTCAAATGTCCACTGATCTTTAATTCTCCCATGTTGTTGGATGTAAGAATTCATTACATAACTTCCTGGAAACTACGACTGTAGAGACCATTCAGGGTGACTATGACAAATGGATTTAGGGAAGTGACAGTTTTATCAATCTCCAGAGTATTTTTAAGAATGTAAATATGTATTCTTTTATGGAAATTTTGCATACTGCTTCTAAGAACCATTATATAAAAATGTTTAAAATAAAAAGTATCCTTGAATTACCATACATTTTAAATGTCTATTATCAGGGTCTTTTTTACAATGCAGTCTTTCACAGATACGTAAGTTTAATACAGGTCACGTCACTGAGAAGAATTTTGCACATGAGCAAGATAGTGGCTGAGTAAGACACTAGCAGTCCTCCCCCCACAAATACACCAACGTTCATGAAGCCACCTTGACAAGTGCCAGTGCAGCCAGGTGAGAGTGTAAGAGGAAGGAACAAGTTGCCCATACACCCCCTCCCTGGCTCCAAGGACAAAGAAAAATGCTTCTCACTTGGGGGAGGGAGAGCAAATTAAATCCAGACTTTTGACTTGAAACCTAGTACCAAGCCTGCTCGGTGAAACATAAAGCCAGACAGAGCCCCATGGCCTCTGGCGCCCCCTTAGCCGGACCGCTTCTACCACCCCTTCCCAGCCTCCAGTGGACAAGGCAGCAAGACTCCAGCTGCTGGGAAGGCAGGCAGGAAAGGGAGCCCAGTAGCAGGCCTTCCAGGTGAAGCCCAGCAACTGACGAAGCCCAAAGGCCTCTGTCCCCACGCCAGTGCCCAGACATAGCCTCTAGACGTGGCCCATATCAGGGGGAGACACGCCAGCAGGACGACAGAGTCCCAACCATTCCCGACAGGAAAGGCAAGCATCTGCGTGACAGCACAGGGCCCTCTCCTGTCATCCTGGGCAGCCAGAGGACTTTACCACACCTCTGGCAACCCCAGGCAAACAGCAACCAAGACTCCAGGCCACCAAACATGGGACTCGGTGCCATGCAGGGAAAACCCCACCACTGGGAGATCCTAACAGTCCCTGTCCCCAGGCCAGGACCTTCGCTGGTAAAGTGAAGACATACACATCCCAGCCAGCATCACTCGCAGCCGCGGACTGCAGTGTATCAGCAGTCCAAGTAGCAGTGTGGGCCTTCATCCTGCGCCGATCCTGCACTAGTCTTGTGGGCTGTAAGCTCCAGCTGTGATCTACCATTGTAGCCAAGGCATTGCCCCTCAATTCCTTCCCCACCCCAGGCAGCACAACTGGGAAAGACACAGATATCAAGACATTACCCAGAAACCAGGAGCTGGTGCCGTCCCCATCAGCCACTGGGCCAGCACTACCATGACCCTGCCACTGCAAAGGCCCCAGTGACCCTAGTCTCAGGAGCCAGGAAGCCCAAGGCCACTCCACAGGCTGCCACTGAGCATCTCATGCCCCTGCTGGGAATGAGGAGCGCCCAACACCCCCAATGTTGCTGTCATCAATTACAGTCAAAGAAACAGGGACACTACACTGGAGCAACCAAATACAACTCAAGCCAAAACAGCCTACCAAATGGAAGAGAATCAAACCTTACAATACAGCAAACTGGCAAACCACAAAGGTGAACAAAAGGGGAAGAAAAGGACAAAGGATATTCAAAATAAAAGACATTTTTAAGAATCATAGGATTGAGTCATTACTTGTCAATGATAACTTTAAATAAATGTAAATGGATTAAATCCCCCAATTAAAAGACTGGCAAATGGATTAAAAATCAAGACAGCAAAATGCTGTCCACAAGAAACGGACTTTAGTAAAAGCAGACACAGGCTTAAAGTCAAAGGATGAAAAAAGATACTCCATGCAAACAGAAACCAAAAGCAAGCCCCATTACCTATACTTAGACAAAAACTTTAAGACAAAAACTAAAAAGAGACAGGATCACTGTATAATGATCAAGTCACAAGATTTAACCATCATAAATATGTATGCACCTAATGCCAAGTACCCAATCCTATAAAACAAAGGGAGAGAGACTTGAGTACCTCACTTTCACCAATGCACATATCATCCAAAAAAATCAAAGATACATCAGAATTAAATACATTACTCAAAATGGAAGTTACCAGATATTAAGCACAATTCATGCAGCTGCTACAGAATGCACATTGTTTTTAACAGCACATTGAAGATATCTCTAGGATAGACCAGATACTAGAACAAAAAAACCTCTCAAAACACATCGAAATCCTATCATGTATGTCTTCTGACCACAATGGAATAGAACTAAAAAGCACTAACAAGAAACTTCAGTAACAAATCCATGGAGACTGAACAACATGCTTCTGGATGAACATGGGACACTGAAATAACAAGGGATATCTAAAAATTCCTTGAAACAAAAATGGAAACAATAAACCAAACGGATGGGATACAGTAAAAGCAGATCTTAAGAGTTCATAGCAATAAGCATCTATGTCCAAAAAATAGATATTGAATGAACAATATAACAGTGCATCTCAAAAGGACCTACAAAACCAAGAACAAAACAAACGCATGGTTCGGAAGAAAAAACAAAGGTCACAGCTGAAACAAATGAAAGAGACTAGAAGAATGTAAAGGATTAGTGAAATGGTGGATTCATTTTTTGAAACAAAATAAACCTTTAGACTAACCCCCCAAAAATGAAATTTTTCAGATGAAAAAAGGAGGCATTACAAGCAATACGATAAGAATGCAAAATATCATTAGAAACTATTATGAGTAACTATACATCCAATAAATTGGAAAACCTAGAAGAAATGGCTAAGTTGCTAGACACATGTAACTCCCCCAATTTAAAGCATGAAGCAACGTGAACAGACCACTAATGACTCAGATTGAACCAGTCACTAAGAAAAAAATTTCCCATCAAAGAACAGCTGAGAAGTAGACAGCTTCACTGCTGAATTCCACCAAACTTTGAGAAGAACTGGTATTGGTTCTTCCTTAAAACTATCCCAAAAAGTTGAAAGGGAAGGAATCCTAAATTCTGTCTCTAAGAGGAACATTTCCTTTGATTCCAAAACAAGGAACACAACAACAAAAACTATACACTAATAACCCTATGAACAGAGATGCAAAAATCCTCAATAAAATATTAACAAACTGAATCCACCATCACATCAAAAAGATCAGCCACTGTGATCAAGTGGGATTTTTCCCAGGGAGCCAAAGATGGCTCAAACAAATCAAATACAATACATCACACTGACAGAATAAAGGATAAAACTCATGATTTGGCTTGGCAGATGGGGTGGGCGGTTTGGCATGGCATTGTGGCATAAAACTCCGACATCCCATGTGAGTGCTGGTTCGAGTCCCTGCTGCTCCATTTCTGATCCAGGTCCCTGATAATGAGCTTGGGAAAGCAGTGGAGGACAACCCAAGTACACAGGGCCCCTGCCACCCACGTTGGAGACCCAGATGGAGTTCCAGGCTCCTGGCTTTAGCCTGGCTTAGTCCCAGGCATTGTGCCCATATGGGAAGTCAACCAGTAGATGGAAGAACTGTCTCTTCCTCTAACTTGGCCTTTAAAATAAGTAAATAAAGCAGTCTTTAAAAACAAAATCACAAGATCAGGGTAGTGTCTAGCCTAGAGTAGGAGCAGCAAACATCTGGCCTGCAGGCAGTAAAAAGCCCATGAAACCATCTGGTCTGGCCCTGCCAAGGCAACTGCAGGCCCTTGGCAGAGAAAAGTTTCCCAACCCTGGCCTAGAGGTTATCAGCCTTGTTGGATTCCGTACTTGACTCTGGTTCCTGACTCCAGGTTTCTGCCACTCATGTGGGAGACCTGGAACAATTTCCCAGTTTGGGAAGAGAACCAGTGGATGGGAGCAGACATGCACGTGTTCTGCCTTTCAAATAATTTTTCTACCTCAAATAATTTTTTAAAAAATCTTTATCTCAATAGACCTACAATAAGCAATTAATAATATTAACATCCATTCAAGATAAAAAAAAAAAAAAAAACCTTGAATAAATTACACATACAAAGAACATACCTCAACATAATAAAGGCTATGCAAACCCAGGGCCAACACACTGAGTGCAGGAAAGGCTGATAGCATTTCCTGTAAGATCTTGAACCAGAGAATGGTGTCCACGCTCACTACTCACATCCACTGTAGTATGGGGAATCTTAGCCAGTGCGTTAGACAGAGGGAGAAATAAAAGGCACACAGATGGGAGAGGAAGTCAAATTACCCAACTGCAGATGACGTTTCTTTACACAGAAAAACCTAAAGGATTCACCAAAAGCCTCTAAGAAATGATAAATTACAGACTACAAAAATCAGCATTTTTACCAATAACATGCTGAGAATTATTATTATTTTTTGACAGGCAGAGTGGACAGTGAGAGAGAGAGAAAAGCCTTCCTTTGCCGTTGGTTCACCCTCCAATGGCCGCCACGGACAGCGCGATCCGAAGCCAGGAGCCAGGTGCTTCTCCTGGTCTCCCATGGGGTGCAGGGCCCAAGCACTTGGGCCATCCTCCACTGCACTCCCTGGCCACAGCAGAGAGCTAGCCTGGAAGAGGGGCAACCAGGACAGACCAGGGCCCAACCGGGACTAGAACCCGGTGTGCCGGCGCCGCAGGCAGAGGATTAGCCTATTGAGCCACGGCACCGGCCTCATGCTAAGAATTATAAAACTACTGCTATTCACAGGAACTCCCCCGCCCCCAAATAAATGGTATAAATCTAGCCAAGCACAGGGAAGACATCTACAATAAAAACTTCAAGATGCTAATGAAAGAAAGTGAAGACAAGAATATGGGAAGACTCCCATGTTCATGGATTAAAAGAATGTTATTAAAATGTACACATTACCCAAAGCAATCTATGGGTTCAATTCAATCTCCATCAAATTACCAATGAGACTCTTCACAGAACTAGAGAAAAACCTTTCAAGAGTCATATGGAAGTGCAAAAGACCCTGAATAATCAGAGCAATCTTGAACAAAGAGCCAAACTGGAAGTATCATACCACCTTATTTCAAGACCTACTACAGGCCAGCGCCGTGGCTCACTAGGCTAATCCTCCACCTGCAGCGCTGGCACCCCAGGTTCTAGTCCCAGGTGGGGCACTGGATTCTGTCCTGGTTGTTCCTCTTCCAGTCCAGTTCTCTGCTGTGGCCCAGGAAGGCAGTGGAGGATGGCCCAAGTGCTTGGGCCCTGCACCTGCATGGGAGACCAGGAAGAAGCACCTGGCTC